AACATCCGATAAGTAAAAAAAAAGTACGCAAAATCTTTACTAAAATAAAAATGCTTTATTTATTATCTAATTTATTATCTAATTGTATGAAAATTTGTTCTGATTTTATAGTACATACTACAAATTGTGCACCCGTGTTCAAGAGCTATTTAATGGACAAATTTTGTGGAAATAACTCATTTAGTGCTTCTGTCCCGTGCATACAGTGTGTATTTGTATTACACATACTAGAAAATTGTGCACCCCGTGCATCGACGGACTCTGTACTAATAAATGACCTTAAAATTGTGTACCCCGTGCATCACCTGTGTTCACATTTTGGCCTATTACAGGTCACGTACTATATATATCCCGTACATTTTCCTTTATTCATTTATATAATTATAAGACTTGATAAATGACCTTAATTTTGTGCACTCCGTGCATCGCACGGGATCTGTACTAGTTAGTATTAATAGATGAGACATGAGCCGAGCTCGGTCTGAAATATCGACTTGTTCAGTTAAATAGTAAAGTTTAACTCGACTCGATAAAGGCTGAAGACCTTATTTTTCAAGTTTGTATCGACTCGTTTACACACGTGAATACTCAACAGACACACACCTCAGCTATCAACATATAGCAACCCACAGGTATTATTATGAAATTCACAAGCACTTGACCTCTGTTTTTCTTTCTTGTCCGCTGGTGACAGGTAATCTTCACATTTTTCCACAACTACCAAGAAAACAAGAACAAAAATTTCAAAACAAAATCGGACAATATCCCACTTTTTCCAGTTTTTTCTATCTCTCACACACACAACTGCATATAGTCTACATTCTTTCAAGAAGAAAAAAAAGGTGATATTCTTATCACCTTCAGCAAGCTACCAACAATGCTATTGCAACTAAGTTGTCAATCAAAATGCCAATGGCCTCAGCCCTCAAACCCTTTCTCATTATCCTTTCTTCATCAATATTCCTCACAAATCTCGCTAGCCCATGTGCGAATTTTGCAGATCTTCCCAAGAAACTGCCAAACTCGAGCGAACCCAGCTCACAGGCGCTCAACGGGAGCAAAAAGGTGGAGCCTTTCGGAAAATCCCAGGTCGTAATCCGAGGAAACGCCACCATTACAAGCCCAAACGGTACTTTCAGGCTCGGATTTTTCGCCCCAAATGATGGGCACAGATGGTACTTGGGCATGTGGTACGCTTCTATTCCTATCCCTACCTACGTTTGGGTCGCGAACCGCGAAAAGCCCGTCAATAGTCTGCTCTCGGCGCAGGCCGAGATCACCGGACATGGTAAACTAGCTGTGGTGGACCAAGAATCAGGAACCCTTTTATGGGAAACGAAAAATGTCCAAAAAGCAACAGATCTGAGGCTGCTGGAGCAAGGGAACCTAGTTCTTTTGTCTGCTGAGGGTAGAATCGTGTGGCAGAGCTTTGATTTCCCATCTGACACGTCATTTCCCGGGATGAACCTGACAGCTGGCATGACACTCAACTCCTGGAAAAGCTCAATCGATCCAAGCCCAGGAAGGTACTTTCTGAGGATAAACCCTCCTGATTATGGTGAAATCGCGCTTTACTATAGCAATGATAGTGATTTGTACACGTATTGGACGACTGGTAACTGGACTGGGAGTGCATTTGCTGGTGTGCCTGAAATGACTGTTCCCTACATTTACAAGTTCAATCTTGCTGAACCCTTTACGCCCCTCGCGACTTTCATCTACTCGGAGGTTCCGTTGGAAGCTGGGATGAAGCCCCCATTGACTAGGTTTGTCTTGGACCATACGGGCCGGATCAAACAGTTCACTTGGTCCCAGCAGAGTGGAGATTGGACCACTTTCTGGTCCCAGCCCGAAAATGTTTGCAAGGTGTATGGGCTTTGTGGAAGCTTAGGGATGTGCAATGGGAACCCGTTGAGCCCGTGCCAGTGTCTGGATGGTTTTACCCCTGCAAACGGCACTTCTTGGGCCAAGGAAGATTTTACCGGTGGCTGCTTGAAAACGGGCCGTGGGACCTGCAGCGAGCACGACAAATTCGAAGAAGTTGGGGCGGTGAGCCACGAGCGAACAACTGTCGTGTCGTTTATTGGGACCCGTGCCGAGTGCGAGAAGTCGTGCTTGAAAAGCTGCTCCTGCATTGGCCTTTACCACAACGAAGAAAGTAATTCGTGCAGGAATCTTTACGGCCCGCTCTTGAACTTGCGTAACGTCACTTTAGATAGCACGGTCGATGATAAACTGTACTTGAGAGTGCAGCAAACGGTCGGTGCCGGAAAAAAGAGCAAAACGAAAATGATATTCTCGATTGCGATAACTTGCAGCGTCCTCTTTGTGCTAGGCGTAGGGATTATGAATCTTTATGTGAGAAAAAGGCGGCGGGCCCACCTGATGAATGGCGCGGATAGTGATAACACTATTCAGGCGACGAACTTAAGGTTATTCTCCTACAAAGAGCTCCACTCGGCCACTAAAGGATTCTCACAGATGCTTGGTCATGGCGGGTTCGGAGCCGTTTTCCGTGGGGAGCTTGCTGACTCATCGGTGGTGGCCGTTAAGCGGCTCGAACGGCCTGGAAGTGGCGAGAAGGAGTTTCGAGCCGAGGTCTGCACTATCGGGAGCATTCAGCACGTGAATCTCGTCCGGCTACGCGGATTCTGCTCCGAGGGCTCTCACCGTCTGCTCGTTTACGAATTCATGCCGAACGGTGCTCTCAGCACATACCTCCGGCGAGGGTCTGCCGTGGTTCCGAACCTGAGCTGGGAGGATCGGTTTCGGGTGGCCGTGGGGACAGCTCGGGGGATTGCTTATTTGCACGAGGAATGCCGGAGCTGCATTATACACTGTGATATCAAGCCGGAGAATATATTGCTGGATGAGGGTTTTGCTGCTCGGGTTTCGGATTTCGGGTTGGCGAAGCTCATGGGTCGGGACTTTAGTCGAGTCGTGGCGACTATGCGGGGGACTTGGGGTTATGTGGCGCCCGAGTGGATATCCGGTGTGGCCATTACCACGAAAGCTGACGTGTACAGCTACGGGATGACTTTGCTCGAGCTTCTTGGCGGGCGAAGAAATGTAGAGGATCGTGATGAAGAGGATGATGACGAGGATGATGACGTGGCGGGGAGGTGGTTTTTTCCTCCATGGGCGGCGCGGAGGATTATAGATGGGGACGTGGGGTCCGTGGTGGACGAGAGGCTCGGCACGAGTTACGATGTGGGAGAAGCAGCTCGGGTTGGGTTGGTGGCGATTTGGTGCATACAAGACGAGGAAAGTTCGAGGCCGAGTATGGGTACGGTGGTGAAGATGCTCGAGGGGGTGGTGGATGTGGCGGTGCCGCCGCCGCCGATGCTGCTTCAGGCGCTCGTCTCTGGCGAATCGTTCAGAGGGGTCGCCGCCGGGAGGTCGGGAGGTGGAGTGTCGGTTTCGGCGGGGTCGGGAGGTTCGAGGGTTTTGGCGTGATTTGTTGTCGGTTTTTTGTTGGGTTTTGAGGCGAATGGTGATATGGGGTCGTTTGGTTTTGTGCAGAGAGGTAAAACTGGCTTGTGCAGTGCATTTGATTTGAGCATTTTGCATTTTTGCTTTGATTTTTTGTAGTATCTGTTTACACTAATGAGATGATCGCCTGGGAATCTATTGCTTACAGTTTTTATTTTTTGGGTAGTATCTGTTGAAATTAGTGATGAACTATTAACTTGGAAGAAGCTAGGTTATAATTAGATGAATCGTGTGGGAATCGATATGCTAGGTTTGCTTACAGAGGGTGATGAGAAAAATATTTGTTCTTTTTCGTTGGTCTTAACAAAAAAAAAAAACTCAGGCTCTTTTTCCCCTTGCTTGCATCAAACTAGTGATGGACTACTATATGCATTATAGTAGTCAGAGTTTGAATGAAATGGGGTCATTTCATATAGTTCAAGGATACATTACCTTTGTTCAATCACCGGCTCGTGCAGTAAAATTCTTTTTCTAATTTTCGGTTTTTCTTTTACCTTTTTGGCAGATTAGTGGGTAACTCGAAGCTAGAAAGTTTTACCTGGATCAAAGAAGGAAGACATCTTTTGTCGAGCCATGTTATTACACAATGAGGTATCTAATAAGCAGATGGGACTAAGTTTACTGATGTCACTGCTTTCACTTCGTACTTTAGTAAACTGATGACAATTTTTGATCGAACTGCTGGAAATGCCCCTTTTGTTATTCTAACACATTATGAAGGAACTATTTTTAGTTTGAGTGTTGCTTCAGGTGACTTTCTTTTTATTATTTATCAAATGATCATCTTTAGGTTGGGTTTATGATTGTCAGTTAAATGATGGAGCTGCTCGGCAAAAATGCACGATATGTATATATGAAAATAAAAATATATTAAGAGGAAATAGTGTTGAAAGTATTCAAGAAAGAAATATGCATTTATATATAGAAAACATAGATAATTTTCAAGATGAATTTGTGTCGAACAAATACAAGGAAGAGGCACATTATTACATGATAAATCTCTGGTTCTATTTTTAGTTTCTATTGTCTAACTTCAAAGGTCAAGACTAATTCAGTTGGTCTCCAACTAATGCTTTAATTAGAGTATTACACACCACTCAAACAACTGTCAAAATTTCCTAATCTAGAGGAGAACAAATGAAGAACAACAAAAACAAAGACCAAAAAGGCAATGATCATGAAAAAGTCTGAATCTTTATCAACTCCCACAATCCTGCATGCACAAATAACCTTATTCTGAAAAAAAATAAAAAAATAAAAAAAATCCTTCTTTCCGAAAAATAAATCAAAACCAATAAAAAGATTTAAGAGTACTCAAAGATTGAGGGGTTCACAGAAAATGACAAGGGAGGAGGGGCATTGGACAACAATGCCCTTCCTTCCTCACCCCTATTCTCCAGCTCCAAACACATTATTTCCATGGAAGTCGAAAAATCGAGCTCTTCGGACGATCAAACCACCATTCTGCACGAGGCCCCGTCAGCCTTCCTGGCAGGCGGTGAAAATGGGGATTACCCGCCTTTAAAGACTTTTCACGATGCAAAGACTTTGTTCTGCATAGAGTCTTCCAAGCTGTGGACCATAGCTACCCCAATCGCCTTCAACATTTTGTGCAATTATGGGATTAATTCGTTCACGAGCATATTTGTGGGCCATATTGGGGATGTGGAGCTCTCGGCTGTGGCCATATCTTTGTCGGTCATCGCAAATCTGTCGTTCGGATTCTTGGTTAGTCTTCCCTTTTGTGTTTTTTCGTGCATGGAGAATGGAATATCGGTTGATTAAGGAAACTGCTTACAAACCAGTTTGCTCTTTTTTTTTAAAAAAAAAAAATTAAAAAATGATAAAGATAAAAGCTTCAAGATGTTTGTGTTTATGTCACTGTAGGGTGTGCAAACCCAATCCCACATTTTAAAGGTTTTAAGTCCAATATATAAGTTTGGTGGGCTACTCCTTCTATTGCCAATTGGTTTTAGAATGGAACCCCATTTGGACTTGTATGTTGGGCTTGATGGAGAACTGGGTTTTGAATTGTTGATCCTAACAATTCACAAACAGTTAGTTTCCTGTTGGACCCTTTTCTTAATGGTTCATGGGTTCTTTGCAAACTGATAGAAAAAAAAAAAAAAAGAAACTCTAAAGAAGTAGCAAATGTCAATGAATTAGCTAGAACAAAACTCTCCGTTAGTTATGCAATTTTCTTGCAGGTTCAAGAGCCATCATTTCTTGCATCTTTTTTTTTTCATTTTCATTTTTCGTTTAAAAACAGCTAGGCATGGCTAGTGCCCTCGAGACCCTGTGCGGCCAGGCCTTTGGAGCTGGCGAGATAAAAATGCTCGGCATCTACTTACAGCGCTCGTGGATTATCCTAACGGCCGCATGCACATGCATGGTCCCACTTTACGTCTACTCTCGGCCCGTACTCAAACTTTTGGGCCAGAGGCCCGATATAGCTGACATGGCTGGAAATTTCTCTCTCTACATAATCCCACAAATGTTCTCCTTAGCCGTCAACTTCCCGACCCAAAAATTCCTACAGGCCCAGAGCAAAGTCTCAATCCTTGCTTGGGTCGGGTTCGTGGCTCTTGTCGTGCACATATTCATACTCTTTTTGTTCGTTAAGGTTTTTAAGTGGGGCCTACTTGGGGCGGCCGTAGCTTACGACGTGTCGGCTTGGGGGATTGCTTTGGCCCAAGTGGTTTATATTGTCGGGTGGTGCGGGGACACCTGGCACGGGCTGACGTGGCTCGCGTTTAGGGAGATTTGGGCATTTTTAAGATTGTCTGTGGCATCCGCGGTTATGCTGTGCCTCGAGATTTGGTACTTTATGAGTATTATCGTGCTGACAGGGCATCTCGACGATCCTGTCTTGTCAGTTGGGTCCCTCTCGATATGGTGAGTATTTTTTTACGGACGTAAAGTTTGGAAAAAAAAAAAAAAGTTGGGGGGGAAAAAGGTGATTCTTGGCTTTTGGAGATGGAACTACTGAAATATATGCATGTGTAATGGGTTTGTGCTGGACCAAAAAAAAAATGATTTTTAACTTTTTGAACCCAAGTACTTGTTCTTCAATGTATACTCTCTTTTAGCTTTTATCTCCAAATTGTACTAACTTTTGTTCTTCAACTATATTTGGTTTGTGATATGATAAGTCAAATCTCAATCTCTTTCTCTTAAATGAGAAATTTCAGTAAATACTATTTAGAGTGAGTCGACTATTATATATGTGTCAAAATTTCTTAGATGACTCATTTCTGTCTTAAAAAACAAAAATTGTTTCTTGGCTTCTATATATGGGTTTATTTGCAGGCTGTAACAAGTGATTGTGCTGGGAAAAAAAATGATTTTTTATTTTTTGCACACAAGTACTTGTTCAATGTATACTCTCTTTTCGCTTTTATCTTCAAAAACTGTACAAAATTCTGTTCTTCTGACTATATTTGGCTTGGAATTAGAAATTTCTGTAAATACTATTTAGAAAGACTCAGCTACTACATATGTCTTAAAATTTCTTAGAAGACTGAAATTTTTTCATAAGTTATATTTCTGCTTCTTTATCACTTTCTTTTTTCCAGCATGAATTTGAATGGATGGGAAGGAATGCTATTCATTGGAGTCAATGCAGCAATAAGGTAAACATAAAAGAAAATTGCATTTCTTTGACTTCGATCTTTTTCACAAATTTAAACGTGCGGTTTTTTTTTTTTTTCCTTTTTCTAGTGTTCGTGTGTCGAACGAGCTCGGGTCGAGACACTCAAGGGCTGCAAAGTACTCGGTTTTCGTGACCGTGGCCGAGTCGCTCCTCATAGGTCTGTTGAGCATGGTGATTATAATAGCATCAAAGGACCATTTTGCAATACTCTTCACAAACAGTGAGAAAATGCAAAAAGCTGTTTCTGATTTAGCCTATCTTCTTGCTATCACCATGGTGCTCAACAGCATCCAACCAGTTATATCAGGTTCTTTAACAATTGTGAAAAACAAAAAATAAAAAAATAAAATAAAATAAAAATTTGATAGTGATAAATAAAATCTTATTTAATTATCTTGACATTGATTCTTGAGATTTTAAATGAAATTTATTGTTAAAATTTGCAGGTGTTGCAGTTGGGGGAGGATGGCAAGGGCTAGTGGCTTTTATTAATCTGACTTGCTATTACATAATTGGTCTCCCTATTGGGTTTCTTCTTGGTTACAAAGCAAAACTAGGTGTACAGGTGATTTTTTTTTTATTTAATTCTTGCAGAGTAAATGATTGAAAATAGACATAAAAAGGGGTAAATAGAAGTTACAGAATAGTTGTTTTGCCACAAAATATTGTGAGGGCCAATTTTACCTTTAAGCGGGTAAACCGGTCATACTTTTTGCATATTTATCGTTTGGGATTTTGAGTGACATTTTAAGACTTTTTTGAGATTTGAGACTTTTTAAGATTTTCAGATTTAGGAAGAATCATACGAAATCTTATCTAGGTGAGATTTGAAATGAATTTTCGTATATAGTTTTTTCTTTTGAAATCTCAGCTTGAAAAATTAATACCTCAAGATTTTGTGAGACTTTTTAAAATGTAAAATGAATACATCAAGACTTTTAAAAGTCTTAAAAAGTTTGAAAAAGTCTAAATTAAATACACCTCGATTTCTGAAGTCTTAAAAAAGTCTTGAAAAATCTCAAACGAATAAAGCCCCCTTATACTCTGAAATGACATAGTTATTGTGTGTGTGTTTGTTTGTGTTAACAAGGAAAACAATATGATTTGTGTGTTTCTATCTTTGTTTTTATTTATTTATTTTATTTTATTTGGCAGGGAATTTGGATGGGGATGATATTTGGGACATTTCTGCAAACTGTGATACTTCTAATTATTGTTTGGAGAACAAATTGGAATGAGGAGGTATTCAAATATCTTGAATTTAGTTTTTTAATTCGTAGAGTTACTATCTTCGTGGATCGATTATAGAGGTATAAATTTTCAGTCGACAAACTATACCTCATTTTGTTGGTCTCGCTATGGCTTTAAAAGTCCTAAACTAATTTTAATGATTAATTATAAATTTATCATAGTTAAAAATTCTATTGTGCCATATTAGAGTTTTTAATCGAGGAGACAAATTGTCAGTTTCGATTACACTGAGAGACAAATTGTTAAAAAATAAAGTTTGTATGGCAAACTCTAAAAAATAACATACTTTGAAAGGTTAAAAAAAAATTCCCACAATATAATGGTGTAATTTTATCTACTCTCTCTCTCTCTCTCTCTCTCTCTCTCT